CTCGCAGGTGGAAGCGAAGGGTGGATGCGGCTATGCGCCCCTACCGGCGTTAGCTCCCCAATGATGATGATGATGATAGTCACAGAAAACGTATAACATGCAAAACCATAGTGAGTACATACATTTATGACTTGGGGTTTCTATATCTTGAGGTCTATGTCATTCTACCTTTATAATTTAAATTTGTACCATTTTTTCTTGTTCTTTTTTTTAGTAGCAGTAGTAATCTGTTAATAATGCTTACCAACTCGATTTTTTGAAGGGGGTTATGTGCTCAGTAATTTGTAATATTAAGATAACCACTAAATGTTACTGATATCTCAGGAAAATTTTGAGAATTTTTTTAGTTATTACAAAAAAAAAAGATTGTTAATTACAAACTTCATTAGCTTAATTGCTTATTATGATATTAGTCTGAGTTATCTCACGTTAATTAATTTACATACTCTAGTTTATGATATTTTCACTCGATTTCCAATGAAGATTTAGTTATTCTTATAACTTTTTCACAGTCTGTAAATCATTATCATATAAATACATCAAATCTTACTATTTAAATATATCTATTTATTTTTCCCTTCCCTCTCTCCCTTCCTACCTTCTCTTTCTCTCTCTCTCCCTCCTTTCTCTTTCACTCCCTTCCTCCCTTCTCTTTCTCTCTCTCCCTCCCTTTTCTTTCTCTCCCCCTCCTCTCTCTCTTCTCCCTTTCCTCACTCTCTCTCTTTCTCTTTCCCTTTTTCTCTTTTCGCTATTTTTTTCTTAACATCTGAAATATGTTATTTCCTTTCTGTAGTTGGTTCCTCTATGAAATATGTTAATCTTGAGTAAGGACTTTTCTTTATTAGAAATTTCCTAAATTATATCAATTATTTATTCAACATAAAAATTCATCATCTACAATTCTGCAATAAGAAATATTTAATTGCAGGAGCAATAGAAAACGTATATATATATATATATATATATATATATATATATATATATATATATATATATATATATTCCTTTACGAAGTATAAAATTAATCGAAACATACTTGCCATCATAATTAGAATTTTCATGTATGTATTGATCTGCCTGAGGGTCCATAAAGACACTGCAGGTTAATTTGTCAGCAGATAAATCTATTTTAAGCCATAATTGCCATTGTCAAAAGCGAAATCAGTACACTGCTTCATTGAATACTAAATACTAAATACTAAAAGTGTACTTTTTACAGTAAGAAAAAGTAACCACATGTTAGGCTATTAATATATCAATGTTTTATTAATTCTATTGTAAATATCGTGTTTGTATAATGAAACAGGTGTTATCACAAGATTATTATGCTGTAAATAATAATAAAATGTAAAAAGAAGTTATGCAAATGAAAAGTTATTTAGATAGAACTTGTGCTAATAAAATGCTATTTATATTTCATTACTGACTACAATCATTCATATAAAAACCCGTACTTTGTCTTACGAACATTAGGGTACAATCAAAGTCTCAAAATTCTCAATAATTCGTAAGTGTTTTCAGAAATAGAAAACACTGAAAAGAAAAGTGAGTCAACCAACCAGAAGTGCCATATGACCTTCATGTCTATTTATGCCTATTTATTTGATTTAACACACATTTTTCGGAGTTTATATGAAGGTGAAAAAATACACTTTCCGTAAATCGTAAAGTTAAAGATAACGAATGAAAAACAAGATTTATATGTAAATGTGTGTCTTAAGTATTTTCTGTTCCTGTGTCGTGTAGTGAAGCAAAACTGAGCAGTATTTTGAATGTACACAGATTTGTGTGAAAATATATAGATGTATTGCACTTTTTATTTATGTGTTTGATTCAAGTGTTTGGGTTACAATCAGCTATTTTTGCATTATCATCATTACTATGGACAAATCAAGATCGTCTTTACAAGAAATGAAAGTTAAAATGTATATTTAAAAAAGTCCACCCACTGCAGTAAAAACGGTATTGCCAAACATGTCCAAATCCTGTTTGCACCAATTTTACTCTCGGAACCACGACTCATGTTAGGTGTTGGCATTATAGATTGATAAGGAAATGGGAGGAGAGGGGAGGGGAGAGGAGGGGAGTGGGGCAGGGAGGGAGAACATGATAATCTCGTGATAAGATACAACGCAAGCGAGAGGGATAGCGAGCAACGATAGGCAGTATCAGTCAGAGCTGTGGCGCGCGAAACGGGAAGCAAAATGACTGGTGTAAACAGTCTAATTATCGTCACGGCGGTCTTCCTGCTTCAGGATAAGGGCCGGGCTGACGTGCTGAGTGAAAAACTGGCCATCATTACCGATCTGAATAGACCTGTTGTTAGATGTAAGTGTGGCTTTTCTTTACTCTTGGGTTGAGGTAGATATTTCTGATTCGCCGAGTTGATTTTTGGGTTTTGTGTAATGGTGGGAGAGCACAGTGGAAGGAAATGGAAGAAGGGAGGGAGGGAGGGAGAGAGAAGAGAAGAGAAGAGAAGAGAAGGGAAGGAGGGAGGGGTGAGAGAGAGAGAAGAGGGAGAGGGTGAGAGAGATTAGTAAGAGAGAAGAGAAGAAAAGGGAAAGAAAGGAGAGGGAGATAGACAACAGGTGAGGGGAGGGAGAGGGAGGAGAACGAGAGAGAGGAGAGGGAGAGGGAGGGAGGCAGGGGAAAGCGAGAGGGAGGGAGGGAGATAGATAGATACAGAGTGAGGGAGAGAAAGGAGAGAAAGGGGAGATCTATGACTGAAACTAATCCTAAAGCACGGAATAATACAGTGTCTGAAATCTTGTTTATATAGCTACGAATCGAAATCGTTTATTGAATATCTATATATACAAATATCACTGTCAATGACATCCACACTAATTTGACCTCGTTCTTCCTCATGTCAGAAATATTATCGATTTTATTCCCATCACTTTGACCTTTGTTATTGTAGTCAAGTTTGCCCACGTAACCCGTGACATACAAAGATCACTCTCATCACCTGTTTGTCAAGTGATATCATTTGATAAAAAAAGGTTGCAAGTAAAGGTCCATGTTTTTTTTTTTTAAGTACTTGTGTTTCTTTCTCGTGTCCAATTGATTGAAATTCATGGTGTTAGTGATATAAGCCAATAGAAAAAATAAACTAGGTTCATGAATATCTCTTAAAAAGAATTTGGATTTAGTACTACATGTTTGGACATCTAGGGTCGCTGTTCCAGGTTGAGACTGTAATTTATTATTTGTTGAAAATTTTCTGTCGCGTCAACATCTAAAGTCATTAGCGACGTATTCAAAATATAGCGATAGCGTAAGGCTTGGGGACAAAGCCCAGGGTAAGGAACGGCTATATGACATAAAAAGGTCATATGCCACTAGGGTATAGTAGTGGAAAAAAACGTTAAGAATGAGTTAACGGGACAACAACGAGCAGGGGATTGGGGGGAGAATGAGAAATACTGATTTAGAGGTCAGACCAGGAAACTCGTACCCGCAACCCTCCAGTAGTCAATTCTTATTTCAACTACCATCTTGAGGCCAATGAATGTATGCGTCCCGAGCTTCCCAGAATTAGGTTATTAAAACTGACATTAAGTACTTGTACGTAGGGTACTCTTTGCCATTAAAACTGTAAGATAAAAGTTACTATCAAATTTCAGTCTCTTAATCGTATATATTTTCTACCGTATATTGTTTTCTTTCATAACGATAACCCTTTCGTAGGCTCATTAATAACGGTTCTTGTTATCCCTTGGGCCATTTCAAGCCATCCCTAGGGCCATCAGTATAGCATCCCGCTTTTAGCAGTAGTATGCATGGAAAAAAGCATGTATGGTGATATGTAAGGTTAATGTGTGTGTAGGAGAGAATGTGCACAGTAAGTTCCGAATAGTCAACGTGCTGAGCGTTGAATACATGTTAATCTGTTACTGATGTAAGGTTTAATATGTTTCTGTGTTTGGAGTCCAAAGACGCATTTAGGAAGCATCACCGATTCTGGCGTATCAGTTCTGAATATTTTCATTAATAATTTCTCTGCCAAACCGAATATTGGATATAGCAAAAGTGGTGTCCTCTTTTAGGAGACTTATCAAGTTTACATTAGGGGACAACTTAATCAAAGAATCTTACACATTCATTAAAACATCATGAAGATTAAGAGAAACACTGGGACAAAGAACCTTGTCTGTAGAATAGAACACTTACAAATATCACCATAATAGTGATGGTGATGACGATGGCCATAATAATAATTATAATTATAACAGCTATAATAACAATAAGAAAGGATCATAACAAAAATAATAACAATAATGATAATGACAACATAATACAGAGAGAGAAAAAAAACATACATTACCTATTCACTTTAAGCCAGCTCCATATTTAGCAACCTTTTATACCTTTCACACTCATCTTTCCCTCTCTATTTTCAGTGGCACACATCAACCTCGAAAACCAGACATGCCAAACGGACGCCGAGTGCGCGCAGTACCTACCCAGCCTCGACACAGCTCTCTCCATAGTGAGCTCAGTTCCATCCGCACCGTACTGTTCGGGTAAAGGTTTCGAAGCCTGTTTCTAAGAGCGTTTGTTCCTCCTTAGAGTGTATGAGAGTGGTGATATTTATGTTTTTTTTATTTAAGCTTGTTTCGAAGAGCTTTTGATCCTCCTTAGAGTGTATGAGAATGGTGATATTTATGGTTTTTTATTATTATTATTTTGTTTATTTAAGCTTGTTTCGAAGAGCGTTTGTGATCCTCCTTAGAGTGTATGAGATTGGTGATATTTATGTTTTGTTTTTTTTATTATCATTATTTGCATTTTCATTTAAGCCTGTTTCGAAGAGCGTTTGTGATCCTCCTTAGAGTGTATAAGTGTGGTGATATTCATGCTTTTTTTCTATTCTTATTTAAGCCTGTTTGGAAGAGGGTTTGATCCTCCTTACAGCGTATGAGAGTGATGATATATTTTGTTTTTTCTATTATTTCTATTTGATTTATTTCTTATAGGGTATGGTAGTGATATAATTT